GCATTTGAGTGTCCCATAGAGACATCAGAGTATTTTATAACTCGTCATACATTGTCACAATAACAAAGACTACAAATTATAAATCAAAGCATGTCTCTGTATGTTTAATCAGCTCATCAGAGGCTCAGGACTGTATACGCTCTCCTAGCAAAAAACATCACTATACAACACAATACCACCACCATACACCAGAATTAATGAAAGTCACATATCAAGTGTTTAATATTTTGATATTTTTAAAACAAACCCTCCAGAAAGAAGTAGAAAATATAAGATTTTGCTGTGATGGTTGTTTGTTACGGTGGTTTACTTTTGTGGTCTCCAGGGAGCCAATCTTTTAAAAACACATCTTTTAAAAACTTAATTCTTTGCACTTTCACAAATCACAATGTATTTGTATAGCGCCAATTCAGAATCAGAATCACCAATTTTTGAGACACTTTACAAAACATCAGTCCACCATGAGCACTAAGCAACATTTAGTCAAGTTAAAGTGGAAAGGAAAAATGTCCTTTAAGAAGCACAAACCTCCTGGAAAGTGGGCTGGAGGGAGATGGAGAAAGAAGGAGAAGGACAGAGACAAACAGAGCAACAATAAATAAGATAGATTTATAGCTACATTGTCAGTCATAATGCTAAAAGTATGAATAGTAGAAGCAGCAACAGCTACTGTAAGTGTTAAAACAGACTTTTGCTAACATTAGCAGCTGTAATGATGATGAAACAGGGACATCTGATTATGTTGATTATTATAGAGGTTGAAGTTGAGCAGCTCTAAGATTCACTTTAATATATAGAATAATGATAATAGATGTAAGGCTGATATTATAGATGTAGCGGTTGGAGTCTGGAGGGGGGGGGTCCATATCACCAGAGAGCTCAGGCACTCCCAGGAAGATATGCGGTTATTAACATGCATAATATAAGAACATTTACAGACAGTGACGTGCAGAGATATGATGTGAATGCACGAGAGAGGGAGAGACAAGAGCTCTATGATGATGACATTAGCTGTTGGTGATCAGGGTTATATGGGCCAGAGTAATAAAAATAAGCTCAGAGAAAAAAGCAAACTTTGGCCACATCTGCTCATTCCTGCCGACTACTCACTCCCTCCCTGTGACTCTGAGCTAACATGTCTCTCTGTCAGTGAAGCACTCTGCCATACGAGAAAGATTTATTGCAGACATCTGTGTAGGGACAAAAAACAGACACTCAAAAGAGTTACACCGGCTGATTTTTCTAACAGTGGACGACTTAATGCTTCCAAAGAAAAGTTTTATGAACCACACACTGCTGAAAGGGTTCAGGTTGAGTTGTCTCAGGGGAGTGGATGATAGAGTTGATCAACATTTTGGAAGGAGGTGTAAGCATGTTCAGGCAGGACGCACTGCCTCACTCTGCCTACCACCTACGTCTACTTCTTCACTTGTAGTCTGTGAGGAAACCAATGAGCACCTCCAATGGCTACATGTGCCTTACATTCAAAACTGTTCTCTGTTCCTGTTTTAATCTCGTCAATGGATCATAAAAAAAGGAAGTGTGACTGACTGGAAATGAGAATGCAGGACAAAGCGGATGGGGATTCACATGAGAAATCAATGGGGGAGTTCAGCGATGAACATGTTCAGCAGCCTCAAGGTAAAAATGAGAAGAAAATCTGTTTTAGGTTTATTGTTAGGATTAAGCCTCTTTGTGATAATGATAAATTGTGTCATGACACACATACAAAATTAAATACTATCTAAAAAGACCACCTTTACCTGAATCGCTCCATGTCATTTCAAGGTAAGCGTTATTGCGTTATTGCATTTTGTTGCTCAATCATACCCAATTGTCTCGCCTGATGATAAGTGTCTGAAAGAATGTGTGATGCATGTGAAATAATCGATATAAAGGGGTTCAAAGACGTGTTTGGTTATCTCTAATGTCTTTTTTTGCTGCAGTCTTTTTGTGGTGCAACACTAATTTCCAATGTTCTTGAAGACTCTATCCTTATCACAATCAACACAAAATCTCCTGTTTGCCACACAAGCAGCCTTTGCCAAAATATTACGTGTCAACTGGAACACAACACTATCCTCTCTGCCAAGTCCCTGTTTTGTTTTTCCAACAGATGACAGGAAAGCAGTGCAGAGGAGAACATTCACCAGGTGGATGAATGCTTTGCTGCAGAGAGTAAGTCATAACACAATGCAGTTATACTGATACTTTATTAATCTATTATTAAGCTTACATGCAGTCATATTGTTTACAATTATTTTTATTTCCAGTGTGATCCTCCAGTTGAAGTGCACGACCTGTTCACAGACATTCAGGATGGCAGGATACTGATGGCTCTGCTGGAGGAGCTGTCTGGATGCAAACTAGTAAGAGTCATGCTTTATAATAGAAAAATGTATTCACAGAAAAGTAGAAAATATGATTAAATATGTTTTAGCCTATGTGTGAGTCTATCGAATCCCTTAAATGAAACAAATAAATCTGAAACATTGAAACCACTCCCATGTTTTGTAAAGCAGACATGATCTAGCGGCCAGTGAGCTTGGCTTAGCGCAAAGAAAAGAAGCAGATGGTGAACATCTATTTGCCATTTTTACATTTTTACATTGTTGGCGTGGAAAACTGTTAAAATGTTGTACTGTTGTGATCCAGGTTTACAAGTTGTATAAAATAATAAGGAAGAGTTTACAATTAGGCCTATTTATTGAACAGTTAAGGAAAAGATAAATATGCTATTACTTTGGCAATTAGACTCTGTCATGACGACTTTATGAACTCAGAGGGCAAGTGAGGCTGACAGCAGGATAGGATAGGAATCAAATAAGTCTGTTTAAAAAAAAAAATGTTTGGACAGAGCTAAGCTAGGTTTCCCCCGTTCCATAGGCAGTTTTCTGGACAAAGCTAACAAGTTTAATGTCTGTAGCGTCATATTTGTCGTACATGAGCGTGGCATCTGTGTTTTTATCAGCGTAAATTGAGTTGGTTCCACAAATGTTGAACACTTCCCTTAATTACTGTAATTTTTCTGATAAGCTCTACAGGTATAGGTCATCCTCTCACCGCATTTTCAGACTGAATAACATTTCCAAGGCCTTGGCTTTCCTGGATGATAGACATGTGAGTTTATTTGCTTTAATTGAACACAGTAATATTGTTCAGTCATGTTTTACATTTACATCTGGAAAAACAATACTTCAGATGAGGTCTCCTCCCTCCTCCCTACAGGTGAAGCTGCTTGGCATAGATGCCTCTGGGATTGCTGATGGCGTCCCTGCTGTTGTTCTTAACCTCGTCTGGAACATTATCCTGCATTTCCAGGCAGGTCTAGTTTAAATCAATGTCATTAATCAATCCAAAATGTAATGGATTATTTCACCTGCCTGGGTGGTTGTCTTTGTCAACGACCTTACATACCACTCTGCTTTTCTACTCTTAAACAGGTAAAGGAGGTTACAGGAGGCCTCCAGAGGCGTTTGTCTTCAAGCCTCTCTTCCTTATCGATGAACAGTCATCCTTCCTCCAGTGACCTCTCACCTGAGCCGAGGACTTTAGCAGCCATTCCTGCAGTCCAACGCCAAGCAAAGGCAGAAGAGCCACAAGAAAGCCAAAGTATCATGGGAAAGCATTAAAGACTCTCCTGCAGTGGGTCCAAGGATGCACATTGAAGTGAGTGTGGAAATAAGAGAATCTTTTACCAAGACTGCACATTGAAGTGAGTGTAGAAATAAGAGAATCTTTTACCAAGAATGTTTTGTGAATTTTGTGTGAGCTGACTTTTTTTTTCTATTGTGTAATTTCAGTTTTGGGGTGGAGGTGCTTGATTTTGGGAAGAGTTGGAGGAGTGGGCTGGCGTTCCTCGCTATGATTAAGTCAGTAAACCCATCCTTGGTTGACCTGAGGGAGAGTTTGACTAGAGAGCCAAGAGAAAACATTCAATTGGCTTTCAATACAGCCCATTACAGTCTGGATATACCACCTCTGCTGGAGCTTGAAGGTAAACACTTACTGAATACTAAAGTGGATAATATTGATCCATTTTCAAGGTCAATATTTATCTGCACCATCGCTTAAACAGTTCTTCCACTTCTCCTACTCTAAGAAGTTGCTGGAGACCCGTCAATCTGTAATGATACGACCCATCATGTAGCCACAGGTGTATATCAAAAGCTCACTAGAAATGAGCAGCCAAGTTTATCACTTCATTGACAATCTTTTTGGTATATTTTCAGTTGCCCATGGCACCTAAACTAGTCCTCTTACAGAAGGGCTGTCACCTTGGTTACCTCTGAATGCACTCTTAAACTCTTAGATTAAACAATCTAGTTTTCTATCTGCAGATGTGTTGTGCTCTTCACCTGATGAGAAGTCCATCATCACCTATGTGTCCATGTTTCTGGTGCATTGTTCGGACATAGAGGAGGTTAGTATGCCTTGAATCTTTTTACATGTTTACTTTTTTGACTTCTTTTTGAGATATGGAGTACATTTCTTCCATTTACACTGGATTATTTTAAAAAATGAAGCTACGCAAAGCTGCTAGCTTAGTGTTTGATATTAGTTACTCATGAAAACGCAGGCCCACGATTGTCAAAAAGAATCAAAATCTGTGTATCAACAACTCTTTTTTAACACATTATATCTTGCTTGTTTTACACAAAAACTCATATCTTAGTAAGTGTATTTATACATTAATCAATTTCTAGGTAAACATGTCTCAATACACTCATTATAAGCCTAATTTATAAGACAAGTCCAACATTTTATTTCAATATATTAAAAGCAAAAAACAAGGCCTAAATTGTTTGTTAAAGCAAAATATCTGCCAATGGAATATTACATTTTACTCGCTGAGTGTCGTTAAAAGAGATGTATTTATCTTAATTACAAAGTACATTTATTAATTACAACAATTAAGGCCTACTTTTTTGCTTTTAATATCTTGAAATATAATGTTTGCTTGTTAGATAAATATGGCTAATAATGAGTGTATTTAGATATCTTTGGTTAGAAATAAGACAAGCTATTAGAGTTTTTGCAGTAACATTATGTGTATTTTCCACAATTCATGTGCAGGAAAATTTGCTGTCTTGGTTAGTTAGTTGAATTGACTTTGTACCGATAAAGCAAAGAAATTTTAATATTGCTGAAGTCATTTCTAGACATACTGTGGTCAGATTTTGTTCCCTGTGGACACAGCCAGACAAGCTGCCTTCTGTTTTCCAGTCTTTATGCTAAGCTTGGCTAACAAGCTGCTGGCTGTTTGAAACACTATGAGAGCAGCATCAAACTTATCTGAAAAATTGTTAATAAGATAATTTGCCCAGATTTCTAATCATTTTTTGAACCCCAAAGATATTTTCACATTTAACAATCACTGGATATCCTCAAAGATACTTACATTATTTGCATTGATGTGATGTACTAAGAAGTCATAAACGCTTTGTTACAGAACAATGCCTCAGATGTTGAAGTTCCTGCGATTCCACACTTTGGATCACTTGAGTCTGTCACTTTTGGAGAGATCAATGCCGATGAGCCAGAAGCCAAAGCTCTGCTTATAGGCTTTGAGAAGAGCACCGAGCAGCAGCTATGGAAACAATGGGCCAGAAGACACTTACTTCACACAAATGGCGCAGTGACTCCTGACCTCTCCTCCAGTTGTGGTGACATCTTTTCAACCTGTCACAGCCAAAGCACCACTGAACAACCAGCAGGCAGTCCTGAAACCTCAGCATTCACCAAACAGAGAAGCAAATATCGAAGTGTTTTCAAGCCACCCAGTCCGCTGGATGCAGGCGTCGTCAGCCTGGAGATCCGATCATGGATGGACAAAGCATCTGGAGGTCAAGGCTACAGCAAGCAAAAGGCAGGTGAAAGTCGCTTTTCTCTGAGCTCTGAGGAAGGAGTCTACAATTTGTCAGCACTGGACTCAGATGAGGAGGAAGCCTACAGCTACATCCTGGAGCTGAATGAAGAGGATTTCCAACCAAATGATCAGCTAACAAGGAAAGTACCAAGGGTTGAAGAGGAAACTGCAGAAGAAATGTTCCTGAACGGACAGCTGAGTGAAGAGTCCAAACCTCTGGAAGTTCATGAGAATCCAAAAGCCAATGGATATAAAGACCAAGAAGTCCTTCTCAAACAAAACGTTGAATTGGATAAGTCAGAGGCTCAAAGGGAGTGTGATTGGGACAAAAATGACAGATGTTCCAAAGAGATTGCAAACAATGGATCAGTGTTAGCCATGCAGTCAGAGAAAGATAGAAAATGCAGAAAGGGAAAGAAAGAGGACAGAGTTGTTGGACAAAGTGATGGACGTGGTAAATATTGTGGGGAAGACAGGAGGAAGGAGAAGTCAGATAGTGCTTATTTGATGACACATGGATGTACTAAAACCGAGGTTTTGAATGATGAAATAAAGGAAACAAATCTTTCTGAGGTTGAGAAGGCAACTGAGAGAGGGCTTTATGAAAGATGTGGACAAGTGGGTGAAAAGAGATTTGGAAAGGAAGAAAAAGACAAGGAAAAATATACAATATTTGAAGAAAGGAAGTACAGAAAGGAGAGGAGGGAAAAGGAAGGTAATAATGTGAAGGACCAAGAGAAGGGAAATCAACCAACTGTTTTCAATGAAGAAGGTTTCAAGGTAAATGAAAACACATTAGTTGACCAGCCTGAAGTCAAAGGAGCTGCTGCAACTAGAATTAACACAGAAGAAGATAATGGCAGCAAGGAGACCCCGACAGTGGAAGATTTGACTTCTCAAGATGAAAACAAGAAAGAGTACAGGGATAAAGTCAAACATTTGATTGATGCTGAGGAAGTTTTAACCAAAGAAGAAAAAGACATGGAACTTCAGGTCAAGAGACGAACACTGTCTGTTAAGAAGGCAACAATAATGGACCACCGTGGTAAAACTCCCCCCCAAAATGACACTAATGGAGGGGTTACAGTCCATAATGATGACAAAGGTTGGACTCCTGCTGACAGTGCAACTTCTCAGTCGTTCAGGTAGGTCCTGACATTAGTAAGTAACCTTATTTAGAAGCATTACACTCTTACTCCACTAACATCTCCAGCACATATGCAGTTTCCAATGATAAATGTGACACACTGAAACTCTATTTAAGTGAATTAAATGTATAAGCAACATGGTTTCATGATTCAAAGTGAAGAAACTTATGTGGAAAGAGTGATGTACCAGGTAAAAAGTCTATATCCTTGCTAGCCGATGAGCCATTCAAAGACAAGGATGCAAGTTGAAAATGGGTCGCTACTCCTTACTATAAAGCTAGCTCCATACTATAAAGCTAGCTCCAGTATTATGTAATTAAAACATTGTTCATTCAACCATAACCCTTGGTTCATTTAGTTTGCTTCTGTATAAAATATACTGGAACAAGTAGAACTTGGGTATTCACAGTCAAAAAGCATGTAATCCGAGTTTTTGTTTTGAGAAGAGAAAATAAACAGCTGATCAGAGTAGTTGCAAACATGAATACTAATCTGCTGCAACAAGTAAAGAAAAGGACAGTGTGAACACCAAATTATTCTCGGAGCTCACACAGGATAGACGCTAAAAGCCTTTTTTCCCTCTAATATAATCTTTAACCTCACAAAACAGTGTTGTGAACTAGCGGCAACCCCAAATGTTGAAAAAAATGAAGCCAATACACAATTGCAAAGAAAGTACCATCCCTGTTGGTCCACTCCAAATATATAATATATATAATTTAACAGCAGAAATAAACATGTCTATAAGGCTGGAGTTGAGGCAGGTTTTAAGCCTCCTGACAGACAGCTCCAGTGCGCCTGTCCATCAGTCAGGTCAGCCACGTACCTTATTCTTATCCTTCATAAAATCAAAACAGATACGTTATCCAAAAATAAACCCCTTGTACAGTGTGAGCTTATAAAGACATGCGCTATTCAGATTGTTTTAGAACCAGGCTCTAAAAATGTTTAATTTTTGCATGGGGTGTGTATGTGACTTTAAGAGCTTCTGCAGCCAAACTCAAGCAGACACTTGAGGACCTGCAGGTTTTTTATGCACTTCTGCATTGGCTTCATTTTTCAACACCAGAGGTTGCTGCTTGATGATGTCACTGAGACAATGTTCATGTTTTATACAATGTAGTTACTTGATTTTGCCAATCAAAGCAAACCTATAAGCCACTGATTAGTAGCTACAATCTGAATTGACGTGTAGACTTCCGTGTGGCATGGCAATGACTCAATTCACAAACATTTGTGCAATCGTACTCATGTGATCTACATACACTTATCCATTATAACTTGAATGCAAACACAGGCTCGATGTTCAGTCCACGCTACAAATAACAACACTGGTCAAAAAACTGTGCCTCCAATGGTAGGCTGCTCACCTGGCATTGATTACCTCTTCCTGTACTTGTACATTCATCATACGCCATTGTGAGTATGCTACCCACTCAGAGGCGATTCTAGAGTCTGGTGGGACCCAGGCAAAAATCTATTGGGGGGGCCCTCTCTCCTAAAGACGGGAATGACACATAATCCCACTTCTTTTCAGAACTTTATCGCCAAACATTTTCAGAACATTTTCAAAATGTTTTCACCAAACGATTTCAGAACGTTACTGTCCAAACGTTTTCCGAAAGATATCGGCGTTGCTTGTCAACAAGCAACCCACTGTGATAACTAGAAATTACAACCAAGAACACACACTGAAAACACAGCAATTGTATACAAAAATGGCTTTAACATATACAGACTTCCCCATGACATGCCCCTTGCCTCATTTACAAGATTATTAGATTAGACTTGAAAGAAGATGAATACACAGTTGAATCAATTTCTTTCTTTCTTTTTCTTTTTCTTTTTCTTTTTTTTTTTTTTGGGGGGGGGGCTTTTTGTGCCTTTATTTGAGAGATATGACAGTGGATAGAGCCGGAAATCAGGGAGAGAGAGAGAGAGTGGGGAATGACATGCGGGAAAGGAGCCACAGGCCGGATTCAAACCCGGGCTGCCCGCTTGAAGGACTACAGCCTCCATACATGGGGTGACCGCACTAACAACTGCGCCACCAGTGCCCCTTGAATCCATTTCTGAAACCATTTACCCCATACACATTGCTTAATCTTAAACAACGATTTTATAAGTGCTGACGGATGAATGGTCTTATCATTTACAACAACTGTACAGAAATATACCCTTAGAAAAATGTAATTGGACCATATAGTTCCTCTTTATAAATGTGAATTTAAAGCGCCTTTCTCTGGTTCTAACACTTTCATGTTTGCTCTACTATCCAACAGAGGTGCAGGATCTACTCTTCGATCTCTAGCGGCCTCATGTGGCACAACCCCATTAGAGCTGGAAATGCTCTTGGTCCTGTGGATCCTGCTCTACTGCTGCTTCATCCTGCCCCAAATCAACCTCTGATCCCATAGCAGTGCATCGTCCTTATTAAGACATGCTGATTCTCCCGGTTCCCATTAGTGTGCCAAGCAGAGACACTTCGGGTGGAATCTTTATCTGTGTCACTTAATTTCCCTCAAGGCACCTTAATGATTTTTTGTTTCGTACTGGCAGCAGAAATTATTTGTCATCTGGTTGTTAGTTTCAGACAAACACATAATCCTGTTAAACCATTTATAACACACTTTTTCAGCTACTTTGGTCTTAAAGTTCACAAATGATTAGACATGTTTTGTGGGGTGTTTGTTCTAAAATGCTCTGTTTATTTGATGTATTTAGCAGAAATAGTCTTTTTGATTTCAGTTGATGTTATCATCCACAGGGTGGCATCGCAGCATCGCAGCAGCTCTCTCAAATGACAGACTCTTTTAACAACATTGTGTTTACTGCTGAGAATCCCATATGAGCTGCTGTTTAATTAGACGCTGTATTGACATGGTGAGATTAATCTCATAGTATTTAATGAGCACTTTGACATTTGGCAGTCTGTCACTGTGTCACTGGTGGCTTTGAATGTAAACTGTTTCATTGTTTTTTATGTCCCAGATAGGATATAATAGTTAGACTTGGCTTTTTTCCATTACATTTTCTGTGAGATATGAATAATAAAGCAGATACTGTATCTGGGTAAGAGTTTGGTTCTTCCCATGAGATAGACCCAGCCATGTAAATCATCAACCATTGATAATTGAGGGTCACCCTCATTAACTATGATGCAGTGAATACATATATAAATGACAAACAAATGAGTTAAGCTACCACAGGAAATACAAATCAATAAAAGAGCAATAACAACAATAAAATATATATTATGAAATTAAAAATGATTTAAAAGGCTTCAAATTACTAAAATGATTAGTCAACAATAAAAATAAAATCAAACAGTTACAGGGAGGTATTGGGCAGTTAAAAAGAATCAAAGTGACCAAGAGGGATAAAAGTGCTCAATTTCAGGTGACGTTGTAAAATATTCCAAGCAGTTTTTCCGAGTTAAGTCTTAGCATGAGGAACTAAAAGGAAATACTGTATTTGTATGTGCTGAAGACATAAATTGTTGATTTTTACTGTTTTAATGTCATGAGTTTGTGTGCACATGTGAAACTAACCCGAACTGCAAAAATGAAGTATGCATCAGTTGCACAAGTGTTCAAATTCCATGTTGCCCAGCATGTGTATCAAAGGGGGAATGAGTGTTCCCTGTCCTCACTGTCCACTACAACGCACACACACACACACACACACACACACACACACACACACACACACACACACACACACACACACACACACACACACACACACACACACAACACACACACACACACACACACACACACTCATTCATTGCTGCTGAAATTCTAAGAATATAAAAAAGCCACCATTGTTTGTTTGGAGCTCAACCCGAGGGTCAAAAGCTCAGCCCAGGAGATCAATACACTTTCAACAGCACCTCAACCCCCGCACCCAGCCACAAGAACAACACTTCCCCCCCAGCTGGACTTTGGGTGGTCATATGTGAGCCTTTTTTGAAACTGGCCAAGCCAGGAAGGGTGGAGAAGAAATTATTAAATGTCTCTCACTGTTGGAATTGCTCAGCCGATGGCCCGGTTTTGCAAAATCCTGAGAAAATTTGCCAGTAGGCCTCTGCAAAGGCATTAAGAGGTTAAGCAGCAACAAAACATCAGCCCTAAACACAGCGTTGGCCTTTGAACTGTACCGTTTCCTGGCCGCCAGAACCACTCCTGAGCTGGGGATCCATTAAAAGCAACAGCCAACACATCTTGTTCTTGCCCTTGGGCTTTATGTCAGCAGCGGACTTGCTATCCCGAGGGACGGGCTCCGTGAGCCAGAGCCAGGCGCTGGAGGCCCTCAGAGGAGAGCATACATTTCTGCTCATACACATCTTTAGCATATATCTTCTCTCTCTAGGATGGTGGAGGTGGGGTTCAAAGGGCAGGGTCTCAGGCTTCGAAAAAGGACACAAGACTGAATTGGGGCCAGTGCGGGGGTGGAAATTTGAGAGGCAGGTTATCAAAACAGGTCTGTTGCAGTCGATAGTCCAAAGGTTTGAAATGGAACTGAAGGTGGGATTCACACAGAGAGTCAGCTTGTATAATACTGGACAGTTATCACAGTCTCTCCAGGCTTCAGCAAACTGGACCCTCCACCTTCAATATCAGCTTTGAGATGATGAAAAAAAAACTTGACAAACTTTACTTAATTATAAGCACTTTAAAGGTAGTGTCTTGTTGTATGAGTGATGACAGCAGATTTAGACATAAATGTTCACAACACGAGGTTTGAAAGAAAGATGTTTCACTTTATTGCTTTGCAGAAGAGGAACTCATCCCCATGAAAATGTATCAAAACTTAAAGCTTAAATGGAAATAAATTGCAGCTCAACTAGAAAGGCACAGTCAGTACAGTTCCAATATGTGTTCATTTTGTCAGTGTTACACCACCAACTAAATAAAAAACTAAGCACCTGTTGTTCTACTTAAAGTGAACAGATAACTTGTGACTATTGGTTGTTTTAAATTCTTGCAGATGAT